TCTTAACCACTTTTGAGTATACAGCTCAATGTTAGCAAATAAATTCATATTGTTGTGCGACAATCATCATTTCATCCCCAAAACTCTCTTAATCTTGCAAAACGGAAACTCCATACCCAGGAAACAAAAATTCACCCTCCTCCTTTGTCCTTCTATGTCTGGTTTATTTTCCTTGGCAGAGCGTCCTCAAAGTTCATCCATGTTGCCGCATGTGTCAGAACTTCCTTTTTAAGGCTGGATAATATTCCACCGTGTGTGTGTGTGTGTGTGTGTGTGTGTGTACACACATATGTGCACCCACACATTTTGCCTGTCAGTTCACCCATCGATGGACACTTGGATTGTCTTCCGGTTGTAGCTATTATGAACGATGCCACCACGAACATGCCTGTACAAACATGTGCAGATTTTTTTTCACAGGAACATAACAACTACTTCAGGTATAAAGAGAAGCACAGAGCAGTCCACCATGAGCTCAGCTGCCTGTCCCCAGTGTCATGCGGGGGGGTGGGGCAGAAGTTGAGCTGGGGCAATGGAAGTGTCTCTCCGGAAACTGTTCTGGGTCAGGCAGGGGAGTGTCACCCAGTGACAAACCAACAAAGCACTAGCACATCACAATGACGACGAATCTTTCAGAGTAAGGAGAGTGTGTGATGAACCCTAAGCCCCCTGAAACAGAACCCCCTGGGGAGGTACCTGGGCATCTGTGTGTTGAAAGTCTTCTGCAGGTACCTCTGACGGCCCCCCTTGGCACTGGGAACCACACAGCCTTGGGTGTTGGAAGGAAGGGCGAGTCTGTGTCTTTTGTCCTGCGGCAGAGAGTGAACACCATGAGCACTGTTTGCAGAGGACAAAGCAAGGCTATGTGGTAAGAGAAGGTCTGGGGTTATCCTACAGCGAAAGAAAAGTGAGTCGTTCTCCCTACCTGCCACAAACACCATGCACAGCCAGCCCCACACGTTACAGTGCATGGGGACTGCCACCCAGGGGCTAGTGGCTTCTGAACCTTCCCTGGGAGGCCTCCCAGAAGTGCTGGATGGAGAATAGAACCAGGAACAAGGTCACATCAGTGGTGATTAAATGAGAAGCAGGTGAGGAGCCTGAAAAGCCACCTGTACTTCCGGCTCTCTGGAGGCGCATGCTTCCATGGGGTCTAACATGTTCAGCGACATGCTTGGGGAGTCCTAGGGCCACGGTCAACTGAGTTTGTTGACAGTGACTTATGGAACTCGATTTCCTTGTGTGCAAAAAATGCCCTAGAAGTAGGCAGTGATCCTCATTCTTTTGGATTTTAGAGTAGATGTCAAATAGAACTTTTGGGAATGACACATGGCTACCAACTTTGGTATCAAGTAAGGACAATGAAAAAGATGAAAAAATACATCATTTCATCAAGGAAGGCTATTTTAACACCATAAAGAAGGGATAACCTCAAAGTGTAAAAACTGCACACCTTGAACTTTAATTCGAAAACAGCCCATTTCCTGTGGCTTTCCCACTTTCTGTGGACTAAGAATAGTTTATCACCGACTCATCTCTGCAAACGGAGACCCTCTGCCTTGAATACTTGGGCACAGCTGTACCATTTGCAGATGTGGTTAATTTTCTTGAAGAAGTGGTTTCAGGGCTTTAAGGGTACTCTGAGGAATTCAAGTACAAAAGGTTCTCAGTCTCTTGCCTCAGTTTCCAATATTAATAGCCGTATGGTGAGCGCTAGCAGCCAGAAAGTGTATCATTCCTTAAAAAGAAGTCAAAAAGACAGATTGTGGCAAGTAGGATCATGAAAACTCGAAGTTGGAAGGCTTCTTAGCAATGATCTCAAAACCCTGCGGCTTGCAAACTAGCGTTCCCTGGAGCCACACAGTGCCGCTGGAACCCACAGACTCCATTTTAATTGTCCCTAATTGAGTTTCTGATTAAGAGATTGTTCAGTTGCTTAAAAAACAAAATGCCCGAACACCACGGATCCACTCCATCTCTAAAAGGGCAACGGGTTAAAAGAAGGTGAGGGATTTGCTTTGAAGCCACCCATTTGGGTGGCATAACTTGGTGACACACCTCCAGGGGGGAGGCAGGAAGACCCACAGTGTCCAACCTTCATCGTGTCTGTTCTCAGATTCCTCAGTGGTGGAACCAAATCTCTCCCTCACTCCAGTGAGTTCACCTGACAGTTTGCCTGCACGGACTGGCTGCTTTTCATAATGAACTCTGTGCTCTGCCTGGCACAGTTCCTACATGGTAACGTTTCACAAACAACTGTTGGAGACTGATTTTTAAACTCCAAGTCTGCATTTTTGCTCTCATTTTGACTATCACTGATAAAAGCCTCTTGAATAGTATTTCTTTATCTTGGAAGAGCATCCGGTGAATATTTGTATGAATGTCATTTTATAATTTAAGGTCCCATCTATCTAAAACATTGCAAAGGTATTTTATGAGGGGGAATCCTTCCCCAAGATGGAATTTATAAAAAATTGTGTATTCTCATGTGTAACGTCAGTGACCTTCAAAGTACTCTTCGTTTGATGCCATACACCTATCAAGACACGGGGTCCACTGCTTAGAACAGTTTTTGAACTCGTCAATTTTGGTACCTTTTAGTGCTCCTGCTGTTTTCTGTTTCACTCCTTCCACTGTGGCAAAATGTTTCCATCTGAAGACGTTGTCCATCCAGGAAAACCAAAAAAGGTGAGATCAGGTGACTAGGGAAGGTGGGGCACAGGGGTCATGCCATCTTGGGCCAAAAACTGCTGAACACGCACGGGGGTGGGCAGGTGTTCTTGTAAATCACCCATCATGAAATGGGCAAACGTGCTGAAAGAAACCCCAAAATAAAAAAAATGTACTGAAGTCAAATGCAGCTGGTACCCTGATGCTATGGGTTCCTAAAACACCTCGCAGGGGAAGCCTACTATGAGCGGCCTACCCTCTAAAAAGTTCATTCCAGTTTTCTGGGGCTCCCCTCTCATATTTTATGAAAGATGTCTTTTTATAAAATGTCTGAGCTGTATGTCTAGCATATAAAACTGAAATTAAGTGGTATCTACTTACTTACTGGAGCTCCTCCTACAGCTGATCGCTGCAGGCTGAAATCGTCTACAAGTCAAGTCGATCACAGCCTGTGTCATGTATTCATTGTATAGAAGGCCCTGCAGTGGCAAAATGTTGCATCTAAGAAGTCTAGATATAACTCAGCTGCAAGTAGCGAACAAATGACTAATTCTACATACTCTAAATAAGTGTTTTTCACCCTGTGGTTCTCAATCATTACACGCACACACACAGAGAAGAGAAAAATGTCAAAGTATGTTACATGACTCAAGAGTAATATCATTTCATAAACAATTTATTTTAGTCATATACAGTAAGTCCGCTACATACGAATGAGTTCCATTCTGAGAATATGTTTGTAAGTCCAATTTGTTCATAAGTCCAACAAAGTTAGCCTAGGTACCCGACTAACACAACAGGCTGCACAGAACTGCAATGTAATAGGTTTATAATACTTTTCCCACAAAAAAACACTTGCACACCAAAAAAACAAAACAAAACACTTTTGCACAAAAAAAAACCACTTGCAGAGGATGCACACATGTGACAATGTATGCCAGACATGTGAACTAACTTATGTGACTGGACATGCGAATGTGTGTTTGCATCTTTGAAAGCTTGCAACTTGAAGGTATGTATGTAGGGGATGCACTGTGTATGTATAAATACATATGTACTGGGTCATGATAGAAAATAGATTTCACAGTTCTAGACTAACTTCTTTTTTCACTTTTGAGCAATGGCTCCACATCCTGGGTATCGTCAACACCACACAGCACCATGACAGTGACCTCTGAGCACAGCCACTCCCCGGTTCACTGCTGTTTTCTGGATGAACACCTCCTCACATCACACATATCACGACCATGCTTCACTGAGGGAAAGCTGCAACAGCGCATTCGAACCCGGGTCAGTGGAAGCTCAAGTCTGTCCTCAATGTGCAGGCCTGACGGCAGAGGTTCTACAAACATGATTGCTACAGACGTCATTTCTCTCCAGGTCTCACCAGGACAGCTCGAGCTCCTGGCATGGAACACAGGAACTGAGTGAACGCTTCCAAACAGATGAGTCGACAGTGAGCACATTCCAGCTTGGTGTAAGCCATTTAAGTTAAATTCAATAAAATATGAAAGTTTCTAATAAAATCAAATGTCCACTCATTTCTTCATATTTCAGAAATACGAAAGCACTATACAAAGCTTTATTTATATTGATTAAATCATAATAGTTGTATTAAAAAGTTCAGACATTTATATCTGTGGCTAATGGTAGTAACCATAATACTTCAGAATCATATCTTATAGAAAAGTATACAACATTAAAATCTTTTGGTTTCAAATCATTATAAAATTCCCATTTGAACACAATACCACATTCAGTACTAGTTATAACTTTTATCTAAAATAACTTAATAATAGAACATGATACTGAGGGAAAAGGAAAACACTTAATTTTCCAAATGCTAGTAGGAAACAAAAAATGTCAGTGTACTCTTGACTTGGGGGCAGGCATGATTTGGCCTGTGACCTAGTGGAACTTGGGAGAGTAAACCAAAGCTTTCTAAAGTGGAAGGACATGCACACTGATTTAGTTCAAACCCTCCATCTTCCATATTAGGAAGCAGACGCACACGAGGGCAAGTGACTTATCTGAGGTCTCATGATTATAAAATAAGAGAGATAGCCCAGGTCTCCAAATAACAAATCTAGAAGATCTCTCTTCCATTTCATAACAAGAGGTTTACACTATACTACAATCGTATTTTTAAAAGATCAAATCAGATACCAAGAGAAATAAATCCATGATAACATTTTAGACTTTAAAAAGCCCTAAGGGAAGAATTTAATTAAAAAAATACGTGTTGACTACTGCTCAAGATGGCAGAACTAGTGTGGCACACGGTGCTGAAAACAGTGAAGGCTTCATTGGCACAGCAACCGTTTATATGCTCATGTGTCACTCTGTGTATTGGTTGTATTTTCATCTGCATTATTTGAGCGAAAGTTTTTCCATAAAAAGTTCTCATTTGATTTCCAAAGACAAGTTTCAGGTTCTTCTTTACTTTTGGAGGATGCAGCAAGGGGTGTTTTTTCACACAGAGTCTCTATGACTGCCAAGTCCGTGAGTTTACTAAGACTGTCATCATTCTGCTCATTCAAGATGTCCCAGAAATCTTTTGGTCTCTGTTTTGCCTTTTCCACGGGCCTTGAACGAACTTTCTTTGGCTGTTGTGTGGGACTGTTCCCATGGCTTTTAAAAAGGTCATCAAGAATCGAGGTGTCACCTAGTAAGTCTACCACGGAAGTGTTTTCCAACGCTGGATTTTCTACCTTTTTGTTTTCCAATTTGAAAAGGGGTCCACTTAGAACATCTGTTCTTGTGAGGTTCTCTTGGTCTTTCACAGTGCTTTCTAATGTTCTATCATGTGCTTCAGACTTGCTGTTCAGAGAATGGGATGCCACAGTATCTTTGGATGCCTGGCTCTTTTTCCCACTGTCAGTCTCTTGGGTGGAGCTAACAGGTGGTTTCTGAGTTTCTGCATCATCAGAAAGTGCTTCTTCTCTACAAGAACTGTGATTCTGAAACTTAATGGATTTTCCTTTACGTTTTTTTGAGCCGCAAATTTGAGAAATTTTGTCAGCAGAATCTTTAAGTGACAAAGTTTCAGAACTTGACAGCCTTCCTTTTGTATGAGGTTCTCTTTTTTCAGATTTCTTCTTGACTCTCTCTCTTTTCTCACAGGCAGAACTGATGCATTCTGAAGCAGAATCCACAAAAAATTCTTTTACTTCTGGATACTGAGAAGCATAAAAATCTCTTAGCATTTTCTGTCGTTCTTCTGATGTGGCATTAATGATATGTTTAGCAAATTCCTTTGTAGAAGACGAGTTAAAGTAAGACATCATTTCTTCAAATTGTTTCCTAAAGATTTAATGAACAAAACCAGTGGTTACTTTTACTGCATTTTATTTTTAAAGAACTCATCATCATTAACAGAAAGTGTAGAGGCAAAGCAATGTAATCTTGTTCCTTGAGCATATATGTCTTCATAATTCCATAATGAAAATACATTTTATCCTAGTAGAATGTGGCCTCTTTCCTTATGCTACTGGGAAAAAATGCTTTAGCTCATGAAATCACCAGCTTTTTAAGTTATTCTGATTTATATTATTAGGTATTTCCTTGGAATTATGGGAGTCCAGCATGCTACTTCTCCAGTGAGCCAATTTATGACTGGCGGGAGAATCATAATTTATATAATCTGCACTTGGAAATCTATGGTGCATTCAAGTTTCATGAAATAAAATTGTCAAGGAAGAATCTTAGTGAGCAGAAAAAAATTTTTAAAAATTAAAAAAGAAATTTGTTTTTCATTTCCCTCTTTTGTCCTTCTTCCATAAATATAACATAGACATCACACAAAAACTTTTTGGTGAGCCTAAAAGGAAAGTTTTAGACTGATAAACCTGGTAGTTTTTTCACCACTTGGCATAGACAGATGTAACTGCCTATGTAACTAAGATGTAAGACATTATCTGAAGAACTGAGTTGCAGTCTTGGCCTAAGACACTACTCAAAGCCGTTATGGGCATGTAAGAGGAAACGGGCCTTCTGGAACCCTGGTAATCACAGGGGCAGAAAGATGACTTAGGGACCCCGGGCAAGGGTCCCTTCCCCAGGTGAGGGGCTACGGACTGAGCTGGGACTGCCCCAAGATCACACCGAAGCCCAAAGACACCCCCATGTGACCTATTTGGAGATGGGACCTTGAGAAAGTAATCAAGGCTAAACGCGGTCATCCGGCTGGGTCCTAACCCTACAGGACAGGAACTGCCCGTCTGACACTTCCATTTTATCTTTGCCTCCTTCCCCTCCCTCCTCTCTGCCGTGTGAGCACACAGGGAGAGCACGGCCATCCGCCAGCCAGGAAAAGGGCTCTCCCCAGACACTGAGCCTGAACCAGCTAACGCCTTGCACTGGTACTTCCCGGCCTCCAGAACTGCGAGAAGCAAATTACTGTTGTCTGCGCCACTCAGTCTCTAGTGTTGCTTTGCTGACACTGGGCCAGGAGTCAGAAGAGCCCAGTGTTCGTAAATACTCCTTTAAACAAAAGCCATAGATGGTGTTGTAACACACATGATTAAAAATTCCCAAGTTTTAGAACTATGTTTACATTTTATACAATAGTTTCTTAAGACACTCATTTATTCATCCAACAAATATTTATAGAGTCTTTTTATATGCTGGGCACCCCAGTAGGAACCACACCACACTGAACAAGACCCAGTTCCCTATCCTCAAGGAGTTGACAGTTTAGCTGAGGGAGACAAATAAATGGAAGTTATACTAGAATCGAGTGATATGTCCCATGATGTAAACTTACCAGCAGCTAAATAGAGGGCCCTGTTGGCACCCACAAAAGGATGCCAGAGCCAGGGACTGGTGGTGGGCAAGGTGGGCGGGAAGGCTTCTGTGCTATCACCTCAAGCCAGCCAGGAAACGGCCAGCGAGGAAGCATTCTGGGGCAGAGGGCCAGTGCAGCAGGGCCTGGGGTACAGAGGGGCAGGAAAAACTGCCCAGGAAGAGGCTGGAAATCACAGGGGTCTGCATGCCAAGTTCAGAAGTCTGAAATCTATCCTACACACCACAGACAATCCTTAGGGTAAAACAGTGATCTATTTTTAATGTATGTAAGTTGGAACTTTAATGCCGCTTTTATCTTTGCCTACATAAAGAGTGCGTTTCACTGCTGTTCATGGCAGTCCATGATGCATGCTCGTGACTCTTGTGGCTTCAGAGCAGCACCAAGGACTGAAGCGCTCGCTGCACTGACTTGTTCACTGTACTGGATCCAGATCCTATGCACGCTGGACCAGCAGCCACTCTTATCTCCGACAAGAACATTTAATCACACAAATACAAGCTTCCAAATGCAAGCTGTCCTGCAGACTGCCAATATTCTTGACGGAAAGCAACAAGCATGTTCTTAAAATGTTCCAGTTTTCACTTCACATGAAGTAATGAGATGTTATTTTATTAATCATCTCCAAATCCATTTTCATGGCCTTTCTCATAAATATTTGTGCTTGTAAAGATGAAGGGATGGCAAGCTGATATCTTTTATTTATCCAGATTTGGTGGTGTCAGCAGCTGCCAAAGTGACCTCACCTCTGCTGTGCCGATCCCAGGACCTCGCAGCCAACCTGCATGCTGGCCCCGGCGGGCAGAGCTGCTTCTAACCTCACTTCGTCTGAGTCATCTGCAAGTAAAGTATGCCTCATGGGTGCCCCTTGCAGGGTAAGCTATGATTATCATTCATTTTATTTTTGCCTTTGACTTTGCTTTCCTAACTCTGGGCCTTCAGAAGAATGTTCCCTAAGAATTTAAGGAATTTCAGGGGGCACAAGCTAGCTCCTTGGGAGGAGAAACTAGGCAAGCAGAGCAGCCTCCCATGAGCCCCTTAGGAAAGGGAGGGGACAAGAGAAACGGGACTCTTTCGGTAAGTGTACCGGAAGCAGTCATGCGTCACGGATAAAACAGAATCCCCCCTCTCTGTCGGGACGAACTGGCGTGGAATGGCTGAAATCATCTCGCCGCCTAAGTTTCCCGAAGGAAAGGTGGGACTGGACGCCGCTCAGATGGTCACGTGGCCACAGCGCGGTGCAGCCTTGATTCTGATCCACAGCACGGCGAGCAGGAAAGAGGGAGGGGCCGTCAGCAGTGTGGACGCTGCCCCGAGTTCAGATTCGGGCCTTCTGACATGAGACAGCCTTCACTTTTGTACTTTGCACGAGGCGTTTACTCCCAGGTGGGGGAGAGAAGAAAGGAAGGGAGACCCACATGATCTTGGCTAACACTCTTTTCTTGTTTCTAAATACAGGGTGCGGCAGGGATGAAGACACGTGCTCCTCAAAGACTGGCGAAACACGGAGGGCTGGCCGGCCCGCAAAAGAGCTGCCCCCGGCGGAGAGGCCGCCCTGCAAGCCCGCTGCTGCAGGGGGGCTTGGCTTTCTGTGCACAACCGCGGCCGCCGGGGGCCACACCACCCCGTCACAGCCGCACCCCAGGGGCCGGGGCCAGCCCTTCCCGGGCAGGGGAGGCACCGGGTGTGTGGAGGTCCGGAGCCCCGGAGCCAAG